TGCGTCGAGGCATTGTACGCAGGTCGAGTCAAAGTTTGTTCGGAAATTGTGTTCGTGGGTCGAGTTGTTCCTGACTAGTGCGTTCGTGACTCGAGGTACCACTGTACTGTAAACACTTATTATAAGCAAACAGACAAAATTTGAACTTGATTCGGTTTTACTTGTAAAGCAGTTTCGAGAATCCTGTTGAATTCGTTGTCTACTCATTTGCCCTTTTGACCGCTTGAACATCGGCATATATGCATCTTTCTGCTTTCGTTTCATCGTTCAGCGCATTTTACCTCAAGAGAATACTTGCAGAAAAACGTTGTTGATATGATAATTAATTATTGTCAATTTTAAATGATATATGGATGTCAGGTGCAGAAGAAGCGTTGGGAAGATTAATAGGCATTCAGCTGCTTCAAGCGAATTCGTCCGTCTTAACTCTTATTTTTTTCTGAAACGGATTTATCCTGGAACTTATGTTTACTACTTAAGTATAAACTTGGACGATTGGATCAATCCGCCGGAGGAAGATGAGAACAAAGAGAATGAACGCAGCGGAGCGAAGAACCTGAATGACAGCCCGAAGATGATGTTCAGTGACCTGTATAGCCAGGCTGACAAGACGAAAGCGGCGGAGCCGTCAGCTGAGGACCTCAAAAGGGTAATCACGGATGGTGGCATAATGGGACTGTGGCGCTGACTTGAAAACTTGATATGTTTCAGAGAAGAAGAGCTCGAATGGCTGTGATCGAAAGCAACCCAAACTACTTGAAAGGTAAAACCGTTCTCAAAAAGCACGGTAAGGGGTCGAAAAGTTCTGGTCGTGCAACGATCGATGCCAAATCGCCTAATAACATGCACCTGCCGACTCCAGTTCCTCTTGACCTTGAAAAGCCTGTCGAAATCAAGGGTAAGTGCTAATAATAGCTATTTTATAACATCGTTGTCATCCGAGGTCTCGAGCCTCTATGGACTGAAAAATCTTTTGGCAAAGAAACTGAATTATCGAAACTCTTTAGACATGATTGGCCTGGAACACTACGCGAAGCAATTGGAGAGTACAGTTTCTTGGGAAAAGGTGAACAAGTCAAAGCGTGGCGGCAACCGCAAGAAGAATCACGGTGACATGGTGGTTTCAAGCGACGACAACGCTCCCGAGATAGAGATTAATCGAGACGTTGGCGAGATGCCGGAAAATGCTCAATCTACTGACGAAGAACAAGATTCGAGTGTTGTCGATCCTTTTAAGGCACTGGATATTAACATTGAAGGGTAAATCATTGGTCGGCATTGATATCGACAAAATGTTGCCGTCGTATTATTTATTCACATGTCTTATCCTCTGTTTAAATGGTAAAACCTCATCCATGCACCCATTCATGCACGTGATCATTCTTTGGTTCCATAACGTATTCAGTTTGTCGTTCGCTGAGCCACTCGTTTATTCATCGATCCATCACGCATTCCTTTAATCTTCATCTTCATCTTCTATCGCCGCTTCTCCTTTCGGGTCGCGGAGGCAGGCGCATCAGACAGTGCTTCCAACGTTCCCGATCCTCTGCCAGAGTCTGAGCTTCGGCAAAAGACAAATGCA